ATGGCACAAGTATACATATGTAACAAAACTGCACATTATCCACATGTACCCTAGAACTTAAATTAAAAAAAAAAAAAAAGTCAGTGAATAATTTTAAAAGGACATTTTAAAAATTTCTTGAAACAAATGTAAATGGACACACAGCATACTGAAACCTGTGGGATACTGGGAAAGCAGTACTAAGAGGAAAATATATAGCAATAAGCACCTACATCAAAAAACTAGGAAAACTTCAAATAAACAACCTAACAAAAAAAAAAAGAAGTATAACCTGTTCCATTTGGCATTTATTATTATGTATTTAGGAAGTATGGATCTAACTTTACACTTTCTCCTAATGATTACTTAGTCATTTCAGCATATTTATTAAAGAGAATATCTTTTGTCCAATCATCCATCTGAGATGACACCTTTATCATATACTAAATTTTAATATATATTTGTGTCTCTTTCTGAACTTCCTATTCTACTCCACTGGGGAGTCTGCCTGCTTTATTCTTGCTTGTATTTTCATGTAAATGTTAGGATCAATTTGTCTAGCGTCAGAAAAAATCTTGATGTTATTTTCATCATGATTGTGCTAAATTTATAGATTAACTTAGGGAAAATTATAAATCAGGAAGAACTGACACATCTATAACATTGATCCTTCCTAACCACCAACCAATGGCTTTTCCTTTGTTCAAACCTACTTTGTTGGCTTTCAGGACTATTTTCAAGTGTTCTTTATATTAATTTTGCAAATTTCTTATTAACTTTATTCCTAAGTATTTTATCTTTTGTTGCTATTGTAAATGGAGTTTTCTCTCTCACTATTGTTGTAGTTATTGCTTGTGTATAATAACACTATTGAGTTCAGTATGCTAATTGTATGCCTTGCTTCCCTTCTGAATTCTTTCATTGTTTGAGCAGTTTTCTTTCTGCTTTCCAGTGGTTTACCAGTAATACTATTATGTCATCTGCAAGTAGAAATACTTTAACTTCTTCTTCTTCTAATTTTTATGTGTCTGATTTACCTTGTCTAATTGCAATGGTTAATGCCACTGGTACAATGTTAAAGTTAGTAGGTATCTGTGCTTTGTTCCTGATTTTAAATAGCTCCAGTATTTGCACATTAAGGAAGAAGTTGAGTTTAGGGCAAAGGCTTAGAGGTAGAGATAAAGAGAGAGCGCCATTTTATCATATTAATATAATAGCCATCAATTCCCTCTTTTTTCTTTTTTCCGCATCTATAAGAAAAAAGGCACATAATTTCTTTACTCATATTGAATCAAACTTCCATTCCACAGATAAATTTCACCGACCATGATTTATTATCCTCATACTATGAGGTTGGATTCTGTTCGCTAATATTTTATTAAGTATTTTTGTATCAGTATTGGTAGATGGCATTGCCTTGTAATTTTCTTTTTGTATTATCCCTACCAGATGTGGTTATCAATATACATTTGCTTCACAAAAAGAATTTGGAAGTTTTACTTTAAATGCTCTAGAACAATTTATGTAGTACCGTAACTGGTCTTTAAAAGCTTGGTGAAACTCTCCTTGTGAAACTCTCTGGACCTGTTGCCTATTTGGGGGAGGGTAATTCCTTAATAAATTTCTTCTACAGAAATTGATAGTTTCTATCTTTAATGCAGTAAATTTAATAAACTGTATTTTCCCAGAAAATTATCTACTTCCTAGTTTTTCAGACTTTTCAAAATGAAAGTACGTTATGGACTCTCAAGATTTTTAAAATTTCTTTTGTTTCAACAATTATTTCCCCCTCATTCTTTCTAATTTTATATATTTGCGCTTTCTCCTTTTTTTCCTGATTAAGCTACATAGTATTTCTATTTCGTTAATTTTTTTCAAAAAAAGATTTCGATTAATTAGATCTGCTTTTTAACATTCTAGTAAATTCTGCTTTTAAACTTTTGGTTACTTTGTTGCTCTTTTTCCAGCTCTTAGAATTGGGAAATTATTTCATTCTTTTATTTTCTTGATACAAGTGTTTAAACACTGTCCCACTGCGAAACATTAAAGTTGAAGCTACAATTAAGGTTGCTAATCAGTGACCTTGAGATAATCCACAGTTACCTAGGTGGGCCCCATGTAATCACACTGGGAGGATCTGCAGCCCACTCTGGGGCAGGTTTCTGCCACAATAGCACAGAGGCCAGGACAGGAGAGGAGGCAGCAGCAGTGGGGAATTCACCAACAACCCCTTCCCGGTGAGAAGGGACTAAATTGTCATGTGACTTGCTTGGCCAATGAAAACATAGCAGATAGGACACTAGCAGGGGCTTAGGAATGTGTTTTCACAGTGGGGCTTGCTGTGTCTTCCTCTAGCAGCTCCAGAAGAACACGCCTGGCTGCCTACTAATCCAAAAGGGGTAAGAGACAAGTGAGGCAGAACCACTCCAGCCGACCTGATAGGCACAGTGGACATTATGGCATGGTGGACAAAGGGATGGACCCCTGGAGAGGGGCTCAGCATATGTCCTCCCTCCTCCCTTTGTTGTTCAGTCCAAACCCCACTGTCTCCAACATTCCCTGGTTCCCCCACTCTGTGACATCACTGCCAGCCTCCTGTCCACTCTGCCAGCTGCAGGTGAGTGAGGCTCATAGGTTAGACCTAAGGGCAGGAGGGGGTAATCTTTCTGTACTAAAATAGAAAATGCCCCCAACATTCCAGGACACCTATTCACTTTGTTACAAGAAGCACCCCTTATTTGCCTTGACCACACTGTTTCTCTGTTTCTGGGTCCCAGTCTCCCTACCTGTGCTGAAAGACTCCTAAGGGCTCTCCTAGCTCCAGACGACTTCCTGTTTGACCTCGTTGATCTTTCTTACTCTGATCAAAGTGCTGTGGGGTCCCTGGAGAACCGAAACTCAACAATCCACTGGGGACAGCCCAAGGGCCCTTTTCTTTGGCTCCTGCTTCCCTCTAGAGGCGGGCATTGGTAATGCAAGAAACACCACACCCGTCTCCGTCCCAGGGAGCATCTCAGTGACATTAAACGCTTACTATGTGCCGGATGCCCTGCAAAGCACTTGACATCTTTATGTCACCAAATCCTTACAACAGCATTCTGCGGGTAGGTTTCACCATACCATTGTACAGACTGGAAAACTGAGGTTCAAGGAGGCTAAGTGGCCCGAAATTACACAGCAAGATGCAACAGGAATTAGGAACTGAAGTCCATCTAAGTTAAAAAGGAGTGTGCTCTTAACTGTTATGCTGTTCTGCCAGGCTTCAGATGGAGCCTTTCCATTTAAAAACCACTTACCATCAACTCTTGGAGGTCAAGGTGGTTCTGAACATCTCATTCTGGAATTGTATAGACAGAATAAACTCTGGCTTCAGATAAAACTACATTAAAATCCCAGCTGTTCCTGTTGGCTGCCACACCTGAGCAAGTGACCTTTCTTAGGCTCAATTCCCTCCATCTGGAAAATCAGACAAAGTCCCTTCTTTGCAAGGTGGAGAGGAAAATGAAATGAGCTCAGAGATGTCAAAGGACCTGCCCAAATGCTCAATGAATGTCAGTGTTCTTGACATCATGGCTGTTTCTATTCCCATAACTTTCTGAGATTTTTTTTTTTTAAAGCCTGTTCATGGAAGGGAGAATGGGGTGAAGGATTGAGCTTCTTGAAGGAGGTCACACCTGAGCTGTCTTCAAGTGTAATGAGGAGAGGACATGGAGGTGCAGGTTGCAGCTTGTGCAGAGGCACAGGGATAGAACAGTAAGAGAAAGTCTGGAGCACAGCCAGCAGCTCCTATGGCTGAAGAGTAGTGACTGAGTTGGAACCAGTGGAGCTGGCAAAGTTGACAGGGGCAGATCCTCAGACAAGTTTGAACAGCAGAACAGGGGAGCCACTGAGGGTTTAAGGCAGAGGAGGAGTGATCTAACAGGATTGGCACCACGGACAGATCTTCTGGTTGCAGACGAGCCACCAGAGAGGCTAGTGGGAAAGCAGTGGTCAGGATCCAAAGACAGGAGGCGCTAGTGGTGAGGGCAATGGGAATGGAGGGTGGCCGACAATGGAGATATTTATGGGATAGATTCAAAAGACCTTGATGAATGTGAACAGACAGGAGGTAAGGGGTGCCCCATTTCTAGCTGCAGACACAAAATGAATAGTGGTACCTGTCCCCAAAATAGGAAACATGAGAAGAGGAAAAGCATGTTTGGGATGGAGAGGGTGGGGAAGAGAGGTGGTCCCACCAGCAGGCAGCCAAAAGCAACCCTGTAAGTCATCCATAAAGCCATCAATCAACTTGGCACGTGGGTGAGGCAGGTGGTGTCCTGCTGGTTGTGACATTCCTTGCTACTGCCTGGTGACAGCACCTGCTTGAACCCTGAACCAAAGTGAGATACATACAGGTTCATCCAACCATGCCACAAATGCTGTTAACCACCTGTCCTACACCCTGCACTGGGGACTCAGCAGCGAACACAGGAGACTCCCTGCCTTCCCGGGTTTACTAATGGGAAAGTGAGTACGAGAACATAAATAATTCTAGGCTACTTCTGAACATGACAAGGGCTGCAGAGAAGCATGAGGTGGGGAAGGGAAAGAGAGAGTGCTGGGAGTGGGGAGGAGGCTTAAACAGAAGGAATAAATGGAGAGAATTAAATAGAGTAAATGGGCCAGAGAAGGCCTCACTAGAAAAAGTGTTCATGGCTGGGTGTGGTGGCTTACGCCTATAATCCCTGCACCTTGGGAGGCCGAGGCAGGCAGATTTCCTGAGGTCAGGAGTTCGAGACCAGCCTGGCTAACATGGTGAAACCCCGTCTCTACTAAAAACACAAAAATTAGCCAGGCATGGTAGTGCGTGCCTGTAATCCGAGCTACTCAGGAGGCTAAGGAATGAGAATCGCTTGAACCCCGAAGGCGGAGTTTGCAGTGAGCTGAGATCACCCCACTGCCCTCCAGCCTGGGCAATAGAGGGATACTCCATCTCAAAAAAAAAAAAAAAAAAAAAAAAGTGTTCTCTAAGCAAAGGTTTGAAAGAAGTGAGAGAATGAATCTTGTGGATCTCTAGGGGAAGAGCATTCCAGCAGAAGGTGGAGCAAACACAAAGAGCAGTATGTTTGGTGTGGCAGGAAAGGGATGAAGGATAAAGTAGCAGTAGACAGTGAGGGACAGGTGGATAAATGGTTAGATTATGAGTTGTTTCGAGAGGCCCAGGGAATGACTTTTCTTTTACTCTGCATGATACTGGAAGCCACTGGGAGGTGCTGGGCAAAGGTGTGACATGATCTAATGTCTGTAGGAGGAGGATTCATCTGTGTTGATGCTTAATGCTGATGCTTTGGAGCCATTGCAATAATCCAAGTAAGAGATGCTGGTGACTGAGGCTGGAGAGGAGCATTGGACAGGTGGGAAGCCACTGTCCAAGGATGAGGCCATGGAGTGAACCCAGTGTGCTGTGATTGACACATGACCACTGATGATGGAAATTTCCAAAGTGGGGCTTTGGCCACAGAGAAAGGGGAGCAAGAGCAGATGGCCAGAGTCTGGAAAAGAGAAAGGAGGTCGGGAATAAGATAGACTTACAACCTTGGGTCATCAGAGCTGGGAGAATGCTTGGAAAGATGGATGATGCAGCCCACTGACTTCCTGTGGCAGATGCGGGGGACCTCAGCATGGGTTAGCCCAAAGCCACACAGCAAGTTAGTGGCAGTGCCAGGACTGGGACCAGCAAAGCTGAGCTGCATCATCATGCTTCCGTGGGACCTGGGCCCAGCTGGAATAATGAAGCCAACAAACCATATGGGAAGACAATGAGCACAGAAAGCACTTTGAGGCACCTCCCATCAGAGTGGCCAGTTTACAGACAATTAAACACTCATCACTCCAAGGTGGTATTACTGTTCCCATTTTCCAGATAAGAAAGGGAGGCCAGTGGCTGGGCAAATTGACTCATGCCTGTAATTCCAGCACTTTAGGAGACCGAGGCAGGAGGACCACTTGAGGCCAAGAGTTTAAGACCAGCCTGGGAAGAATAGCAAGATACCGTCTCTACAAAAAGTAAAAAAAAAAAAAAAAAGAAAAAATAGCCAGGTTTGGTGTCACACATCTGGAGTCCCAGCTACTCAGGAAGCTGAGGCAGGAGGATCACTTGAGCCTAGGAGTTCAAGGTTGCAGTGAGCTATGATTATGCCACTTCGCTCCTGCCTGGGCTACAAAGCAAGACTCTGTCTCAAAAAATAAATAAATAAAATAAAATAAAGTGAGGCACAAAGAGATTACAGAACCCACCCAAGAGCGCACACACACCTAGAGAGAAGGTAAATCTGACTCTTAAACACGAGCTTGTCTGCGTGGGCTGCCGCATCTCCTGGGGTTCTGCTGCTATAGGACCTGGCAAAGAAGAGATTCACGTTTTTCAGCTACAGTCTTATGTTCATCTAGAAAACAACGCTGCCCAGAGAACTGTGCCGGACCTCCAACATCTGCGGTTCAAGAAGGCGACCCTACAGGTAAAGACTGGCAGAGTGGAGGCTCCAAGTCCTTTCCACAGGTAGGAGAAATGTGCACACTTGAGGAAAGACTGGCCCTCAGAGTGGTGGGCCCAGGCAGGTGGGCCTGGAACTGCTGGCCACAGGGAGCTACAGCAGGTCAGAGAGAGGGGAGGGCCCACTATGACCCAGTGCTTAAATAACAATGGGTTTCTGGGATTGGAGCTGCAGAGCCAGGAGCCCCAGTGCCCTTTCCTCCTCCCACCGCCCACCAAAACATGGGGTCCAAGATCTTCTGTTGTTGCCGCAAGACCAGCGAGGGGTCGTCTACCACTGCTGGCTTCCACAATCCAAGAATGTTCCAACAGCATCATCCACGGTCCTTTAGTAGGTTCCAGGAGTGGGTGTATGATAGTGTCGGGAACATCTGATGATTCTCTGTGCCTCGGCCTCCCCAGCCACCTCCTGCTGGGACATGCTCAGATTTCTTTCAGCCTTCTGGGAGTGTGGAAAGGGCATACTCAAACCTGTAACGACACAACCTAAAGACCCTATGAGTTATTAGAGATTAGTTATTAGGTAGCAGATATTCGTTGAAATCACTGGCTTTAGTCCTCCATAGTGGTTTATTGATTCATTTAATTTCTCACTGAGTTTGGTATTTTATTAGACGGTAGTTTAAACTCTGCCTCAGCTGCTTACTGAGTTTGGGCATGTCGCCGACCCTCCCTCTCTAAGCCTCAGCCTCCTTCTCTCCAAAATGAGGATAACGATAATATATCGCCCACTGTGCAGGCTGTTAGAAGATGAAGGGAGACACTGTGTGTAAGTGAATGCATATGGCCACACACAAAGAAGACATTCAGCAAATGATATCTGTGGATGTGTATTAGGATCAGCTGGGCCATGCTGAGGTAATGAGTGAACTCTAAAATCTCCATTGCTTTACCCAGCTTGAGATCATTCTTAGCTCACACAAGCAAACTTTTATTTTTAAAGCCATGAATGATCTGAGGAGTCTCTGAGTGGAGTATGGCCAAGATAGGTTATTCACGTATCACTCAAAGCCTTTACCCAGGATAAGTTTATTCCTCTGTTCTTTCAGATCTGAACACAAATTCTCTCCACAGTGCTGCACCAAACAGACATCCACGCCTCCCCCATGACAAACGCGTGATGCTCAAGGCGTGCACCCTCAGGAGGCCATGAGCATTCTAGTCGGCGGCACCCACGTGGTCCCTGAGGCTGCACGGCTGCTGCGCTTCCATGAGGAAGAGGGTGGTGGACAGGAGTCATGAAGACTGATTCAGAAACTCCCCTGCAGGAGGAGAAGACGTCTGACCATCCCTGTGCCACCACCAAGAGTCACTCCAGCTTCTGAAAAAGCCACCATTGGGGGAGCTGCCTCCAATTAAAGTCCTTGGTCACATCAGAGGAAGTGTCTCTCCTCCTTCCCCCTTTGCCAGCCCTACCTCTGTGATTCCCAAGAATTAGACCCTGGCACCTCTTGGAAAGAAATGTGGTTTTATCATTTTAACACATTAACACATTTTTTTTCAGTCACTCCTAACCAACCTAACAAGGAAGTGCTCTATTAGGAGAGGCCAGTTTGCATAACAGGCCGCTGTCATAAACGTCCAGAGCTTGAGGGCACAATTCTGCTCACCTACTGTGCGACTCCATTTGACGCTCAGGGCCACAGGGAACAGCAGGGCAGGTTGTGAAAAACTCTGCAAACAGCAGCCCTAGAGTTATGCAACACGTAGCCAGTGCAGATATGCAGCACTGCTCGTGCTGAAACACGGAGCATGTGACTGTGAGTAACATGCAGAGGACCCCACATGGTTTCCACATTAGCCAGGGAGCCAGGCACAGAAGTGTATCACTCTGCCATAACAGGGCAAACACTTGGAGAGCAAAATGACAAAGAAGCATTTTGCCACTGACTTGGGGATTCATGGAAGGCTTCCTGGAGGAGATGGGGCTTCAGTTTTCTGAAGGTTGAAAGGGAGTTAGCCAAAAGGAGAGGGGATGATATTCCAGAAGGAGGGAATACAATCAGCAAAGTTGGAAAATAGGGACACGACCCGGGAAGGCATGAGGGTAGCAAAGTACCAAGTCTGGAGTAACTCAAGTGAAAACCTGAGCCAGGGTTTGGTGGGAGGTGAGCAGAACACCAAGAGCTTTGTATCCAGGGAAAGGGAGCTGGACTCTATCTTGAAAATAATGGGAAGCCACAGATGAGTTTTAAGCAACAAAGTGACACAGCCTGATTTCCGACTTTTGTACTATGAACAGTGCCTTAGTCTGTTCGGGCTACTAAAATAAAATACCATAACTGGGTGACTTACAAACAACAGAAGTTTATTTCTCACAGTTTCAGAGGCTGGGAAATCCAAGATCAAGGCCCCAGCAGAATCAGTGTCCGGTGAGGGCCCATTCCTCATAGAGGGCGCTTCTTGCTGTGTTCTCACATAGCAGAAGGGGTGAGGGGTCTCTCTCAGGCTCTTTCATAAGGGCACTAATCTCAATCATGAGGGCTCTGCTCTCATGACCTAATCCTCCTAAACCTCCCAAAGTCTGCAATTCTGAAACCATCACCTTGGGAGTTAAGATTTCAACATATGAATTTGAGGGGACATTAGACCATAACAAACAAGGTGAGTTGGAAGACAACGCCTTTTTGTTTGTTTGTTTGTTTGAGATGGAGTCTTGCTCTGTCATCCAGCCTGGAGGGCAGTGGCATGATCTCCACTCACTGAAACCTCCACCTCCCAGGTGCAAGGATTCTCCTGCCTCAGCCTCCCAAGTAGCTACAGGAACGTGCCACTACACCCAGCTAATTTTTGTATTTTTAGTAGAAACAGGGTTTTGCCATTTTGGCCAGACTGGTCTTAAACTCCTGACCTCAGGTGATCCGCCCACCTCGACCTCCCAAAGTGCTGGGATTACAGGCGTGAGCCACTGCACCCGGCCAGAAGACAACTTATTAATTAGCACTCCTTGTGCCTGCCCTGCCTCAGAAAAGTGAAGAATAAAGGAATATGGCCATGGGATTGTGGAGTAACAGTCATACCTTCAATGAAAAGCCCATCCTGGCTACAATTTGAAGGACGGAATTTTTTTTTTTTTTTTGAGACAGAGTCTTGCTCTGTCATCCAGGCTGAAGTGCAGTGGCGTGATCTCAGCTCACTGCAACCTCCATCTCTCGGGTTCAAGAGATTCTCCTGCCTTAGCCTCCCAAGTAGCTGGGATTACAGACGCGTGTCACCACGATTTGAGTATAATAATAATCGCAATAGACAGTCCAGTACATTGCTTACTCTGTGCCAGGTCCTATTCTAAGTGCTTCATAAATATCAACCCAATCAGCAAAATAACCCAAAAAGGTTAGAACTATTATTACCTGATTTTACAGATTAGGGAACTGAGACACAGGTTAAATAAATCTTTTAAGGTTTACACTAATTCACATTAAGTGCCAGAGCTAAGACTTGAACTCAAAAACGCAACTGCAGAGTCCACACTCTTAACCACTTGGTTATGCAGCCCCTCGATAATGGTAGAATGACATTCAGTTATTGCTCTGGACCCCAAATTGACTGTTCATTGCCTGCTCTTCAAAAATGGAACTGGCCCTTTAAATATTTTTATGTTGGTAGTTGGTGCAATGTTAGGCTCTGTCAGGAGGGGGTGCTAGAGACATTGGAGGAGGAAGGGGCCTTCCTTCCTGGTTATACAGGGCCCATCTTAATAGCACACAACTCACAGCTTCTCCAACATCATCCTCCTGCAGTGCAGGCAACTTTTCCAGAACAGAAATCCTGCAGAGGATGGTGGTCAGTAGCACTTTGCAACTAACAGCTTCTCCTAGTGTCCCCCACAAATAGGAGGTGTGCCTCTAATCAGACACCGTTCCATGACAGATATCCCTGGCACCCAAGGGCAGACTCTAGAACATTCTCCCAGACTTCTCTGCCATTGTAAGCCACAGCCACCCCCTTCCCAGCAAGATCTGGATCTCAGCTGGGGATAGAGCCTGGGGGTGTTCTTTCTTAGTTCTAGGGGTGCTGGCTGCTCCTTATGTCCATGATTCCTATATTCTTTAAAGCTCTCCTGACTTCTTACCACTCCTTCATTACTCCAATCCCCTGTTCTAGTTAGTACTTACATTAAACTTCTCATATTCAAATTGTTATGTGGTTTCTGTCTCCCAATTGGATCATGACTAATGCAGAAATCCAATTAAGAGGCTGGGTTTATGTCTGTGGCCCCAGAACTACAGGAGGCAGAGACAGGAGGATCACTTGAGGCCAGGAGTTTGAGATCAGCCTGAGCAACACAGCAAGACCCCATCTCTACCAAAACAAAACAAAACAAAACAAATTAAGCAACTGCCTAGGCGATCAGGACAGACAGTGATACAGGCCTACAGTAAGGCAGCAGCAGTAAGGATGAAGAGGACCTTGAGTCGTATTTCTCAAGCAAGGCTGGCCAATTCTAACTCAGAACCGTACAGGAAAGAAGATTCTGGGGAATGAGGTCCTTGTGGTATTGAGGCCAAATGGACAACACACAGCAGATCACTTAATTTTGGGCTATTCCAAGCTGGAGGGGCCTGTGGGACATCTGGATGGCCATTATTAAGAAGGTTGGCAATATTTAGCAGGAAAAGGTAAAAGAACTATAGCTGGAAGGAAGCAGAGGGGCTTACCACATGTGTGTGGAGTTGTCAGCTCACTGCATTGTGGCACCTCTTCCCCATGGGATGAGACCCCACTGGCATCCGTTGGGTGAAGATACAGTTCACTTTCCCAGACCTCATGTCCAGAGTCCTCTTCCACTGCCCGTTCTCATACTGTATCCACTGGACCCACCCTCTTACCCAGATTCCCCTTGTCCTGTGCATTCCTCACGTCCTCCCACGCCAGGGTCCCACTTTCCTTCTCCAGCAAACCCCATGTTCCTTATTTCTTGGAGCTGCTTCCTGCAACAACTATAGCAGGTGCTTTACACAAAAAAGATGCTCCTTAAATGTCACTTCCTGTTTTGATAATTTAGAAACTCCTTCACAGAAGGGATGCAAAGAAGCCTCCATCCTGTGACTTTTTTAAAGAGCTCTCAGACACAGGGTGACATCTTTCTTTGAAGGATTCTCAAATAATAACAATAAAAATAATCATGGAGGCCACAGCTGGATTTACTTCTGATCATGGCAAACTAGTTTATATCAGACCAACCCTCCTGCTGACAGCAGTTTAAAAGCAATTGTTTTTTTTTTTCTTAAATGTGTTTGAATGCATCAGAGAGATATCAACATAGTGAGGACATGAGGGGCCAAGATGCTGAAGAGGAAAGTACAGAGAGAGGAGATGAACAACAAAGCCTTCTTATCCCCTTGAGGCACCTGCCAAGTCCTAAGCAGAGTCCAAGTAGCTGAAAAGCAGAGTAAAGCTTTCAGAAGTCTCACAGCTTGGGGTAACAAAAATTGGAGGTTTAGGACTCACCATGAAAGAGGAGTCCTGGTTAGAGAAATATATATATATTACATTTATATATATAATATATATAAATATATTATAAATATATATTATATATTAATATATACACATATATGTGTATATATACACATATATGTGTGTGTGTATATATACACACACACACACACATTTTTAGCTAAAACCTCTGAAGGGCTACAGCCTGAGAGTAAGGTGTAATCACAACTAGACTAGCTCTTACAAAACCCAGGGTCAAGTTTATCTCAAGCCTACTTTTCCCAGAGGTAAAAGTAAATCCTGTCCGAGGGAAGATCCAGAGCCTTGTATATCTCCTTCGATATTTCATTTTTCAAAATATCTAGCATTTAATGAAAAATTACCATGAATATCAAAAAATAAGACCAACTGACTGAAGAGCAAAAGGAAAAAAAAAAAACAGATATTAGAGTTTGCAGACATGAACTTTAAAAGCAGTACAATTAGCCGGGAGTGGTGGCTCACACCTGTAATCCCAGCACTTTGGGAGGCCGAGGCGGGCAGATCACGAGGTCAGGAGATCGAGACCATCCTGGTAACACGGTGAAACCCCGTCTCTACTACAAATGCAAAAAAAAAATTAGCCGGGCGTGGTGGCGGGCACCTGTAATCCCAGCTACTCGGGAGGCTGAGGCAGGAGAATGGCGTGAGCCTGGGAGGCGGAGCTTGCAGTGAGCTAAGATCGCGCCACTGCACTCCAGCCTGGGTGATAGAGCGAGACTTCGTCTCAAAAAAAAAAAAAAAGCAGTACAATTAAATATTGAGGAGAATAGATGACAAGATTGGTAATTTCATTTGAGAACTGGAAACTATTTTTTAAAAAACAAAATTGTAGAACTGAACGTTATGATAGATGAAATTAAAAACTCAGGCTGGGCATGGTGGCTCACACCTGTAA